TTCGCCCACAGTGTCATAACGATGTCTGCCATTTTTTTATCAGTGGGCTTCCACTCCACGACGTTGCCAACATAGGGAATACCCCAAACGAATATCTGGTCGAAATACTTCGGCACTCCAATCCAATTCGGTAGATCGGAGCTTAGAGTTTTCGATCGAAACTTGAATATATAGCTATAAACAGTCTGATGCTTACTGACGATGTCTATAAACGTTTCCAGTGGAGTTAAATATGATTTTTCCGTATTAGAATTGACTATATTTGTATTAATTTTCATTTCCTCGCTGGTTTCATCGGAATACATGAAATTAATAGCATCAGAAACGATGGGGAAGTTCGTACACCATTCGTTATTCCCGGTTACTTTATAGATATCATTTACTGCAATGTCGGAAAAGTAGCTTTTGAGATCCTCCGTAGTCAGCTCAGTGGAAATATACTCATCTAAAATTGTAAGAACTTCTTCCATATCCGTGATGCCAACAATTAGTGGCACTTTGTGATAATTTCCACTCTTAAATAGATTTTCCGGCTGGTTTTCGATAAATGGATATGACGTATTACTCAGTCCATAATCGACAATGGGGCCCCACTGAATAGACGGCAGATTCTCGGTTATTATTTTTGCATCGATTCTCTTTAAGCATTGAATTAATAGCGACGTTGGCCTTCGAGCACACCCGAAAATATTTGATATCCTATCCAGATCGTTGTTGAATTCATGTGGAAATCGAACAGGGACGAGGGGATTTCCAGACATTATAATAGCTCTATGAAACCCGCCCTTCGACCACTCCCCCGACGTCATGTGCAAAGCCGCACTAATTGCACCAGCATCGTGGCCCATCAATGTGATCCGATTCTCGTCTCCGCCAAAATAATTGATATTTTTCTTAACCCAATAGAGTGCAGCCGACTGGTCCATCAATCCGAAATTTCCTTGAGCCTCGCCGTCATCCGTCGAAAAGAAGCCAAAGATATTTAATCGATACGAAAAGGTTACAACAATAACTTTCTGCTTAAAAACCAATTGAAATGGCTCAATGTCAATTGGGCTGCCCATTGTAAAGTTCCCGGAATGAATCCAAACAATTACAGCATATCCATCGACTTCAGGTAGTCCTAAAAAATAGAAGTGAAAACATTATAAACACTAATTGAATACTGATATCAACTCAATTAAAATTCTTAATTATTTAGAAATTTTTAAAAGAATGTTTAAAGATATTTTCCAAAAATCAATCAAAATATCATCTAATATTCAATATTCTATTTTAAATGGTTCAAAGACTCACCGTCAGGTACATATACATTCAAATGCAAACAGTTCTCATCGTATTTTCTTGCCCCACTCTCATTGGGCATATCTCCCGAAAGAACATCCAATACTTTATCGAGCTGGGCATTAGTTGGGGCGCGCGCTTTTTGCCAACAGCTGGGCGCGAAGGAGGTTGCATTGAAAACGCCTTTCCATGGTGGCAATTCAATGTCGGGCGGAGAGAATCTTGCAGCATGTGCATACCGAATGCCCAAGTATGCTTTAATATTTTGGGTTCGATACATTTTCAGATATGTCCCAGATATAATGCCATTTCCAGGTATATGTATATAGGGTGCATCGATGCTATTTACACACGTGTAGAGCAAATTATAAGTGATGTAGAAATAAACAGAAATTAACAAATTCTTCGACCACATCGTGACTTGTAGTATTTTTGCACATGCTTAGAGGGTTTAAGGTACAATACTCAGGAGTCTCTAAGATTTTTTTTTTGTCAATAACATTGTCAAGGAACGAAAAACAAGCTAATAAACCCTGTTGCTAAGCCTTCGTCACCGTGGCAACAATCAGGTTTTTTTATTCTTTTGGATGAATAAAATCATTGCTAAGCCTTCGTTGCCATGGCAGCAATCAGGGTTTTAATATCCTTAATTACCACGCTTTCGTTGCTAGGTCATAAATTGAGCCAATTCTATACCCTATCGCAAAGTGAAAGTTCTGAATAGCTTGACTCTTTGAGTGGGTTATTAGAGCATTCGCTTAAATACCAATGGATATTTGAGTTATTCAACAGTTTGTTTACAATGAAAATTGAATGAATGGGTTATCATTGCTATAAATTAAATGTTATAAATATTACTAATATATTTATACTTTTTATACATTTATATATATTTTTTGTTTAATATTTTATTTACAAATTATTTATTCTTACAGTTAGCTTAAATAAATTTGCAGATTTGTCGCTTTTTAGCTGCGTATATAAATTCCAACAATTTTTATATTTTAAATTTAAAATCTTAATAAAAGTGAATAAACAAGATTTTAAGTTATATATATTTTACGTTAGAGGTGGATATCTATATATAAAAATATTAATAATAATAATAGTTATATATTTAATATTTGAATATTTCATCTACAGCCAAGGATGCCAGGCTGGATCCATGCGACAAAGGTTGTCCGTATTCGTGGCGGATTGTATGAGTGCCGAAATTTTCTTCTTTTCAATATTGTCGAAATAGGATATCTTATTCAACCGCAATAGAATAACATCCACAGCTGAATTAACCACACGAATGGTGTGCTCCATTGTATTATTGTCAACCGAAGGCTCCTGCGATGCATCCAATAATTTAGTCTGCCTAAATCCCTTCTTCTGCAAAGTGATTATCTCATCTCTGAGTATAGTCTGTAGAATGGAACTCAGTTTGTAGTTCGGCTGAATAAAGCAACGAGCTGTGGCTACGATTGCCGCTGACAATAGTCCAGAAATTCCAATACTTGTTATGAACTCGCCAATGTTTGGTGTCAGTCTGAATGGCACTGGTCGATGCTGATTGAACTGCTCCTTATCATCATTTATATCGAACTTAAAGTATGATATATTCATAAGTCCAGAGTCCTGATGAAGGTACATCATATCTGGATTGAGACGCGTCAGGTTTAGAGCGTGCTCACACAGATATGCTAGCGCCAACTGAAGTGTTAACTGAAATTACAAAAATAATTTAAATTAATCAAGTTGTTACGATTTTCCTAATAGGTAATCTAAAAAGTTTATTAAGTAGTGCCTTAATTCTACTACGAAGCAGCTTACCATTTTTCTAAACTGCCAATAATCCGTGGCCGCAGCAAAGGTACTTAGGGCCCATTGCCTTAGCAGAGTCTTTGGTACCATGGTGCACTGAACTTCGGTGAATATTTCTCTTAAAATTGTATGCGAAATGGGTGTTCCTTGGGCTTGCACTTCAGAGAGGCGCTCGTAATACCTAACTATTGGCATGTCGTAGTCAATTTTGGCGTTATTACAACACTTCTTAAATATCTTGAGCAGCGAGACACTATTTGGATTATCTTCAGCAAGTCGCATTTGCGGTGAGATTGGCACAACTCGCGGCACAGTTATATTTAAGAATCGTCGACTGGTCTCCTTTTGCTTTTCCAAATAATAATTGAGCATTCGCTTCAGCTGCAGTACGCGTTCCTCGCGGCGAGCATCGCCTAGTCCTGAGTCGAGTACTACGAGGTAAGGGTATATTTTACCATTCGTGCCCCTTATATATAATCGGCGAGCTGCAGTGTTATTTTTCTGCACTATTTCCACACGTGGCATGAACCGAGCTATGCGCACATAATAATGTGATGATGACGGAATTAACAGCTCTCCGGGCAGCTCTACTTCGGCAGTTTTCTGACTAAAGTTCGATAGGAATCGGCATTTGTCCTCTATTAAGAAGGATGTCGGCAGCTTTTTCACTTTCGTTTCTAATACTTTTATCCACGTTTTCAGTTTGGATATCAAATTATGTAATTTCATTGCTCCGGGCTTCGAGAAGTCGAAATCATTTGTAAACTGCTCTTTCATTTTTTGGAAAACAGGATCTTGAAACGTGACTTGTGCCCGTCGTGCCAAGGACTCTGATGCAGCCGAGTGCGATATGGACGAGTTGACAGATCCTGGAACATTCTCTATTCCAATACCGAATGTCGACCCAAGCTTTTTGACAAAGTGTAACGTGTGCGGGGTAATGGTAGCATTCACCACTGTGCTGCGATTCTCAAA